AACGAAAAATGACAGTTTAACTCTGGGAGGTGGTGCTGTATCACATGAGGACAGGGTTTTGTTTTCCTTTTTTTTTCTTAATAAGATAAAATTCTGCATCCAGTCACTTGAAGGAGACAAAGAGGGAGAAACAGGAGAATGGAAAGCTAATCCCTGGATCTCAGGTTTGCAGTGTTTGCAGAGGTGGTGGGTGTCAACCTGTGACCGTTTAAACCGAGAAGCTATGATATCACATCAACCACATTCATTTGGTACATGTGGTAACTTCCTTATTTGTTAGCTAAATACCCGTGTTTCTCAAAAGGTGTTGTCCTAATCCAGTAATTTCACAATGCATGTCATCATCCTGAAGGTGAGTCTTGCAGTTCGAGCTTCGGGAGGAATAAGGCCAACTCACATCACGGGGATATTACAAAAATAACCATCTAGTTATTTAATTGACACTGGAGTTTAAAAACCATAATATTCAACCATGTACAGTGAGACACATTGCTTGTTTCAGGACTTTTGAAGCATGTGTGTCTTGAAACAGATGTCGTCTGTGTCTCTTGTGTTTGTAACAATAAACCCATAAAACCAGCACCGCATCGGGAATATTGTCAGCAGAATTTGTCTTTTAATTGAGGAGGAGCTGCGTCAGAGAGCTAAATAGAAAACATTTGAAGAACAGTTTTTATTTTTCACTGCATCTAAAATTGCCTCCGATTCTCTTCAATCAAACCCTCTCATTAAACTAACTCCGGGCTTTTACTTGCTAACATCAAAACAACAGGAATGCAGCTCACACACATATTTTAAGTGTAAAAAAATAACTCCTGTTGTGTGTGTGTGACATTTCTCCGTCCTGTATATTATGATAACTCCCGGTCATTTAACAGTGACTTAACGGTGCATGCTGTCAGCTACGGTATAAGCTGCTGAAACCATCTATGTTGCAGTGGTCATGTAGATCCTGACAAACCCTTAAATTACACCAGAGACATTACAGCGCGTGGATCACCGTCTGACCCTTGGCGTGCCGTGACCACATGGCCATAATTATAAAAACATGCCTTTGCCTTAATGTAGGATGATGGAAATGATACCCTAAGGACACCAGTGCTCCACGAGGGCTGTATACTTACCAAGCATGATGTGATCTGGGCAATGATATTTGCAGGAAATCCGGTTGAATGGGTTTATGGCGAAGGACTCTAACAGAGAGGGAGAGATAGTTGGACATTATCCAGATGCTTCGGTTCAAAGTCAGAAGCCACTGCTGGACGGGAGATTCTACAAATAACCGCCGCTGCCTGACAGAGCGCGATTAAAGCCGTCAAAATATTTTGCTGCTGTCCCCGCTGACAGACATGCTGTCAGAGCTCGTCATTATTTACAGAGCTTATACCAGGTGGCGTCATGTCACCGATGGTTTTTTTTTTTTTTCCAAAGCCCCATAACAGATCCCTCTGACAGCTCATCATCATCACAAATCCAAAAAGGTGACAGCAGCGGATCAGCCGGCCTCTAATGAAAAACCATATCGATAGCGGTCAACCAGGATCCCATCGATGATAGCCAGTTTCTCAGCAGAGGATTGAACTGAAGCAGTTGGCAGATAGAATGTTTTCTACATGTGGTGAGGCATTGATTGGTTGAATTTAAGCAGTAGATGCATATAAAGAAGCATTTAAGGCCCCATTTAGCCTGATTTTTAGTTTAGTTGCATACATCTGACTAAATGTGAACAGGGTTTCAACATTGGAGTCACTTACCCCAAATGAAACAAACATAAAGACAAACAAACAAAGAAAAGTAGCCACAGAGCTTGTCCACTGCCCTGCTTTTAAATCCAATGGAAACAGTAAAAATTACAGCCAGCTTTTTTTTCTGTAGGTTCAAATGCCGCCTGGCAATAATTGACTTGTTTTGCTCCACATTGCGTGGTTTGTGGGAGAGGACAGTGACTAACTCTACGCAGATAAACGCAGAAAATAGAAACTTCAAAGCAGACATATAAACCGTTTTGGGGTCAGGGTGAGCTGGTAGAGTTTTATGATCTGAATTTGCGTAATTGCACAGTTCAGATTAGAAAAAATGGGCTTCTGTCATTTGGACTGTACTTTTTTTTAGCTTCAATAATATAAAAGAAAGCAAAAACAAACAAACTCTGGCCTGCAGGCTTGGTCACTGGGGTTCAATAAAAGTGTTTTTGCCTGATCTTGGATGCATAAAGCTTTCAACATGCAGCTCCTTTTTTTTTCTTTGGACTGTATTTTAGTCGAGTACAATTTATCTTTGATCAAATCTGAATTCTTGGCTTCAGCTCTTCGGTGGAGTGGCCTTAAACTCATAGGTCTTCAGGTTCATGCGGTCTCGAAGCGCATACTGGATTTGCTATAAGTAGCCTCAGCACGAGTACGATAGGCTGGCCATGTGATTAACTCCATCTTCCTGAGTAATTTCCTTCATATCCTCAAACCGCAGCAACGTGCCTCCTATTATTTTCTCCGAGGGTTTGATGACATTTGGAATCATGTTGTAGAAATCTGGGATCATGCAGCAAAGCTCTTGGCGCTGCAGCTTCACCACAACAGAGGTGAAGGGGGTAGATGTAGGTTATGGGGTTTTTGGGCTCCGACGTTGACTTGACTGACTGTAACAGATTGTGTTGCGAAGTCACGCTTGGTGTAGTATACATGTTTGGTTGTAAAGTGTGAAAAGTACAATAGTGGATCTAGTTAGTGCATAAATAGATAACAGTTGTTCTTCGGTTAGCACAGACAACGAAACTCATAGATGGCTTTCTCCACCTGACATAGGGGTTAGTAGGGACAAAGGATTGTAAATCACAACACCTCACAATCATAAAGAGTCATAAAAACCTTGAGAAATGACTAACAGCACAGACACCTTGTCGCCTAAACTCTGGCTGTGACAGTCTTTAAGTGAGTGCGTTATGCAGCACACTGTTATCAGCATTGACCAGACCTTATTAAGGGTGGACCCCAGATTGTCCTGACAGACTAGACATTATCTAATCCAGGTTTTTTTTGTTTGGTAGGTGTGCCTCAGAAAATTAATATCTGCCTTTCAGTGGCCACTCGCTTGCCTTAAAGTCCAAAAAGCAGCTAAAAGCTATAATCATTCCGCGTCCCTCTTCATTTCTTGTCTTAGTGGCCTCATTGTTGGGGGCCCTCGGAAATTATAAAGTCACAGGTGGAGTCCCTTCTTCGCATTTGTACCTGTAATTTTACAGTAGCAAGGGCGAAGTGACAAAGCAGAGCTTGCTTGTGCGTTACAATGCCTCACCGGCCGTAAATTTAACTCATAGTTGCTTTATCTACAATGTGTGGATCTATAAATTCCACACACTTCATCATGTGCTGCAGCTGGAGCAAACCAGTTAACCTATGACTCTGCTCAAACAGTGTAAGACTCCTCTGCTCTGCAAAATGGCAAGTTGTAAAAATGGTGCAATTCAGCCATACAAATGGATTCTGAGGAGAAATAATGATACAGAAAGACCCAACCTGCAAGATGACAGATTGGATCCTGAATCTGTGCTTTTGAGACGGTCAGCAATACCTTGAAGCTTCAAGGTGGAAATACTCTGCAATGGCTGCTTATTTTACTCATGCTATGTCCTCCAGCATACAAAAAAAACACCATTTGGACATGTTATTAACACTTGATTTTCACTGGAGGTTACCTTTTAAAAAGACAGTGGAGGGTTCTAGCAGTAGAAAAGCTATTTTCATTTCCAACTCATCTGTAATGTTTTCTCCACAAATCATTCAGCTTAATTTCCAGTGGCATTGGCATTGCTTTGATACACTCTGAGTTGCCGGTTGACTGCTTCAGGGTCAGCTTTAAACACAGAGAAACAACACTGGTTAGATAAGGACGCAACTTGACTTGAAACCAAGCCATCCGTGTAAAACAACAAGCCTGTTTCTACTCACTGGTTTTGTTATTTGGGAAATTACATGTTACTAAACCAGGAAGGTGTGTTTGGAAATGCACTCGTACACACTGAGTCATAAATTCGAACTTGCAATGCAAATAGTTTCCAAGGCCACTCCCATTCACACAGATTGTCTGTCTTTAATCTGCACTAAGTCCACTATTGTAGCATGCACTCCAGTTGGGCCGACAAGGTGGCTTGGTTGTTAGCACCGTCGTCTCACAGCTAGAAGATCCCCGGTGAGGACGCCTGGGATCTTTCTGTGTGGAGTTTGCATGTTCTCCCTGTGCAGCGTGGGTTCCTCCCACAGTCCAAAAACATGCTGAGGTTAATTGGTGATTCTAAATTGTCTGTAGGTGTGAATGTGCTTCTCTATGTGTAGCCCTGCCATAGACTGACTGATCCCCTGCCTTCGCCCTGAGTCGGCTAAGACAGGCTCCAGCCTCCCCGCGATCCCACTGAGGATTAAGCGGTGTATAGATAATGGACGGATGGATGGATAGATAATGGATGGATGCACTCCGGTTGTCCAAGGGTCCTTGAACAATGCGCTGAGCTCCTAGTAGCTGATACAGACCACTGACGTCTTACGAAAACGCGATGCTCTTAAAGGATTTTTACAGTTTCTGCAGATATATGCAGCACTCACGGCCCTCCATCAGTATCAGTGCTCACCCTGCTGGATCACATCACGCCTAATCAGTATTCAGGCAGAGTAATGGAAGGAACCGGTGCTCTTGGGCATAATTCAGATTAAGGAAAATGCACCGAAGTGATCAGGGTCCATCCATATAAAATGAATGAATAAAAAGGATCCTTGAAGTGCTCTCTAGACTGTGTAGTTAACCCTGACCTCTGGCCTCTCTATGACACCACAGCAGTGTTAGATTACAGCCATTAACACAGATTGAATAATCAGCAGCAGCAGACCTGTGGAGGAGAAATGTAAGAATGTCTTTTTTTCTTGAGACATCTTAAGCCTCCATTCCTATAGGTGTCACTATAGTCGGACAACCCCTCCCCTTCCACTCCACTCCTCCTCCTCCTACCTCCCATCCACGAAACCTCCGCGAAAGGGTGTGCGTTTTGAAGGTTGTACGGAGCTATAACACCGCTGCGGACGAGACGAGTCGCCACTTGGCTCTGACAGCCCGCAACAAGCCTCTGAAGCCCGGGGCGGAGGAGGAGGCGACGACACCACCCCTCCAGCCGTCATCCTTCCCTCTCTCAGCTCCGCAAGGTCTCGCGCTGGAAGATGCCGCATTCACGGACGTTCATATGAAAAAGTTAAATAAAACACACACGGGGGCAAAAATGCGATGTGACGGCACCGTGGCTTCTCTTCAAGGTCAGCATCTGATGAGCACAGTTGTGTCGGGCGGTCGGAGGGGAAGACGAGGCTCCGTGGAGGGGATGCCGCTGTGTGTCGCTTTGCCTCCAGCATCAACAATGACATCTTTCACGGACGTTGACACGGAAACTTGTGAAGCACCGCTGTAAGCAACAACTAGGTTGCTTCCCCTCCTTTTTTTTTCTTTTTCTTTTCTTTTCTTTTTTTTTTACAGCTTTGTTATCTGCGTTGCTGATTAAAAGAAGAAGAAGAAACTCCCCAGCATCTCGGCGTTTCCTGCTTTCCGGCCCTGCGTTCACCTGTGCTACGAGGAGTCGAGCTAGCTAACTTCCACCGACACCAATGGCCGTTTGGTTCGGGTTAAGCTAAGCCGAACCGACCGGTAGAGTCACTTGGTTCACTCGAGAAGTTGCACCCAACTTCCTTGTACTTGCTTCGTGTTGACAACGGACAACTTATCCCCCCCCTTTTCTACTACAACATGCCTTCGAGGACGGGCTCCCACAGCCCGGCCGGCTTCGGGAGGAGTGCACCGGAGCGCGGGCTGCTCCTGCTGACGGTGCTGGTGCTCCTGGAGGGCTCCGTGCTGCCCCTCGGAGCCGCCAGCTCTCCGGATATCAGCCACCACGCAAATTCGGACAAGCACCAAGTGGCGGACGTGGGACACAACGCCACTAAGAAGCCTTTTCCCGTGCTGGCAGTCGAGTACGACCGCGTACAGATCCCCTTTGAGATTTCGTTATGGGTGCTCCTCGCATCGCTGATGAAGTTAGGTGAGTGGATCATGTGGATGTCACGTAAGTTCTGCCTGTGACCTTTTACAGGAAATGCCTGCCTGGTGTTTAGTCTGTTTAGGAAAGTTTGGCTGCCTGTTTGGAACCAGCTGTTTCCTTATAGCAAAACAAACACATGTGGGGCGCCCGTATAGCTCACCTGGTTGAGCGGGCGACCCATGAACAGGGGCTACAGTCCCCGACCCAGCGGTTGTGGGGTCGAATCCCGCTCACGACCCTTTGCTGCAGGTCTCTCCCTCACTCTTCTCCCCCCTTTCCTGTCTCTCTCCACTGCTCTACATAAAGACAAAAGCCCCCCAAAAAATATATTTAACAAACACATGTGGAGTGGGGTTTTTAATCAGACTTCTCCTTGTTTACCAGTAAACAAACAACAGCAGCAGCAGCATGGATAAATCAATTACTTGCATTCAGCACCCTAATTGAAGACTGCTCAGGCATGCTGACACAACAAGTCCGACCAGAAAAGGCACAATTCAGTCAGCGAGAGGGTAAATCTGTATTGCTGGTCAGCCAGATTACTCATCAGGTCTGTCAGCTTCATGTGGAGAGGATCTTTTAGAGCTCTGTTTACTCCCTGCTCCAGTGATGACTAAGCAGCTTAATGCAGCAAGTCTGCATGTTGGAAAGCAACTACTTGGCATGTTTTCATCACAGGGGGGGACCTGGCTGCTTTACTGTCGTGAAGCAAAGCTTTACAGGATGTTTCAAAAGCTCCAAACTAATGTGAGGTGATCCAATTCAGGATCTCCCTCCCTGTCCTCAACAGTAATGTGCACTAAAAGACTTGTGTTCGGCTCCAGGCTTTCCTCTGTTGCTTCTGTTTCCTACCGTTGCTCCTCCTTCATCTTATATACCATCCCGTCGTTCCCCTTAATCATCAATCCTCGGTCACGTTGTGCTTTCCACAGAACGCTGCATTGTCCCCAGCTATCTAAAAGCCAACAGCTTGTCACTTGCCTGTGACATCAGGGACCTGACTGAGCAGCAGCATGTAGTCCAGGGAGCATATTGCCTCACTGTCTGGGCGGGAAGCCCAGCGTCTCAGGGGAGAGGCCGGCCAGAGAGGGACCACCTGGCTCGGGTGGCTCAGTCAAGGACACTGAGTGAAAAAGGACAGAGAGTGAGGTGAAGGAATGATGAATGTATTGGAGGCAGGCAGAGAGGAATGAGAGTGGCTGACAGGAACAGCAGACAGTGGCGACCTTAAGCCTCTAATAATCCCAGGACCGCTGAAAATGGGCTGCGGGTAATTCAATGTAGCCGCTGCACCGCTCAGCCCTGGCCGTGTCTCTGATTCATGTACATTGACTTTATATCTTCCAAGCCTAACTAAAAGCATATTCACAGTCCATTCATCCATAAGCAGCCTGTGCACGGCGCTTCTCTCCCTTTCTACTTATTTTCACATAAGTGCTTTTCTTCAATTGGAACAGAAGCTTTTCAAATAAATCAATATAGGAGGATGTCATGTCACTAAGAACCTGCCCTGATGATGTTAAAGGGGTTCATATTTTTGAGATATTCTCAATTGCAGCTCCTCTAATTACTCTACAGACCAGGTGTTAGGCTAAAGCAATAACAATTCTTTATCAATGCATAACTAAAAAATGATACTTGGGTCAAAGTGCACTTTATTGTTCTCATTAAGGGACTTTACCTGCGTCTTAGAAGGAAGTGTGTGTTTGAAAGTCTGTGTCTTTGTAATCAGGAAGAAGAAGAAGTGCTAACAAGTTGTTGAAATGGCCTCGTTTCACATTCATTTCGTGGATCCAACATATCAGAGCAGAACTACCAGTAATTAAAGGCTTTATGATACATCCACCAGGCGGTGACCTTCAGAAGGAACTTTTGGTGAGATTAGACCTGATAACATTCACCAGAAATACGTGGGAAAGACACGCCTTATAATAATTGCCTGTGAAGCCGCTTGATTCCTGCATTTCCCCTCCTTCAAGCAAAGGTCCCGCTGACATGTCTGACAAGTTCACTTAGGCTCACCTTCCATGTATAATTCACAACTTAGCAAACAATTTGAAGGGAAGGTGTGCGTTACTCGAGTGTGACGCTCCATGAAAGCCACACACACACACAATTACAAGCACAGTCGCTGTTATCTGAGTATAGTTTTTGCAGTGGTGGGGCTGCAACCTGAGCCTTATCTCTTATGTGTAGGAGTGAAGAAAAGGGAGTGAGGATCAGCTAATAGAGGAGACTGACACAGAGAATGTCTTTTTTTATTGTTAGATTTATGATTCTGTGACATGGATCTGTTTGACAATAATAGTTTTTGATTGTTAGTAGCTTGCATGATGAAGAGGTTTGCACCAAGGACTGGCACACATTCATAAAACAATACAACAGCATTATCAGAGATGTTCTGGTATTATTTACACAGACAGTGATTGTTAAGCCATAAATGTATTAACAACAGACATTGTATAGTGAGTCAGATTCAGCAATAAACAGGGCAGTGGGAAAGTCTTCAGCTGAACTTTTGAACTGATTGTTATCACTGCAAGTATTTTTTTTTTCTTTCATTATTCAACAACTTGTAGTATTTTTAATTACTGCTACTATTCATTTACTATATTTAAATACCTTATATATGATTATAAAAGGATATGAATAAACTAACAGGTGGATTGGTGGTTAGCACCGTTGCCTCGCAGCAAGAAGGTCGCCGGTTCGCGTCCCAGTGAGGACACCCGAGATCTTTCTGCGTGGAGTCTCCATGTTCTCCCCATGCAGTGTGGGTTCTCTCCGGGTTCTCCGGCTTCCTCCCACAGTCCAGAGACATGTTGAGGTTAATTGGTGATTCTAAATTGTCCGTAGGTGTGAATGTGAGTGTGCTTGGTTGTCTGTCTCTAAGTGTAGCCCTGTGATAGACTGGTGACCCTGAGTCAGCTGGGATAGACTCCAGCCCCCCATGACCCTAGTGAGGATTAAGCGGTGTAGAGATAATGGATGGATGGATAAACTAACAGTATTTTAAAGTACTTCAAAAAGTTGAGGTATTTGTAATTTTATGTTTTTGTCATTTATTTAGATAGCAGTGATTAGGTGAAATGCAGAAGACTAGACTCATCCTGGATCCACAGTAGGGATGTAGAGGTTAGAGGTTTGGGAGTGCAGAGTTTTGAAAACTTAAACCGATTAAATTGTCTGCTGTCATTGCTGTGCTGTGAGAACATGCACATGTTCCGTAGCAATGCATGGAATATGTCGCTTTATCTACATACAAACAAGCCCTTCTTTAACATTTTAAAAGATGTTTTAATTTTACAGTTTTAGGTCCGTTTTCTGATTCTTACACCTGAGGTAGAGCAAGGTTGTGGGCCGTTTGGTTCATTTTTTTATGATCTCAAGTCTGGTTCTCACAAGAGCGACAAGTTTAATACGTAAATTGTACAGAGGTTGAATTTTCTAAAGAGCCATTGTGTCTTGATTATAACTATTTTAGGAATGCTGGGGTTGTTGGGGTTGTTGAAGTTCGTTTGTTTGCTGAGTAAATGGTTCCCCAAGAGACCTGCCCATACCTTTATCTATGGTAAACAGTTGATGATAACTGTTGCTGGTGCTGATAATGAGAGACGTTATCAATGTTACTGGATTTATGCGTGTATTCATTCAATATCTGGGCCTCCTCCTACCTCTGGAGGTACTGTGTTTTTTGTATTTAGTCCATGTTTAATGAAATATTAAGCCATAATCAACCAATGATTGGCGTATAGTGAGTTTACAGTGAAGCAGCGTCTGGCCACACTTTGACAAGACATGTGGTTCTTGAGGAGTAAATTTCATTCATGTATTTGTTAAGGATTTGGCAAGCCCTCAAGAAATATGACCTCAATATAGCCCTTATCTATATTGCCTGTGTCGGAAACATTTCTAGTACATCACTAGACACCACACCCTCAAATTGTACTCCACTTATCTTTATTGTCTTATTTAGGTTAAGACTTGACCCAGAAGATTTCAAGTTTTCTGAACAGAAAGAAACGTTGACATGCTTCTAACCTTTAGGAATGATTGTCTTTGCCTAACATTTAATACGATTACTTCACACCAAGTCAGTATCAAAGACACTTAAATAGCCTTTAAAACAGTAATAAATATTGACGGGTTTGTCACACAGTTCTTACAGCCAAATCTTCAGCCCTTTTGTTTGCCGTCTACTCATTTCATACATCGCTCTGATCACAAGCGGTTATGAGTGCAACATTGCTTCACCGACATTTGATACTGTCACCGAATTGTACTTGAGTCAGTAGCTACAGGAGACGATATCTTTGTGGATTATAATAAGGATCAAACAGATGTGTCGGCGTGTTAACACCCCAGCCTCTGCCACAGCTCAGAAACACGTCCTTCAGAGGAATCGAGCATCAGCCAGCAGTGGTTTTGTGATATGACGCCAGGGATCATACTGAATTATACCAGCACAAGACCAGAATGAATAATTTAAACCAACACTGGTCTTGCACAAGCGACTGGAGGAGCTGCATCAAACAATCAAACAGTGACTCACTATAGCTTATCTTTTTACGCAGCGCTGTTGCCAGGAACAAAGCCCCACATCACTCTAAAACAAATGTGCTCCTTGAACTTTGTGTGAACACCAGAGATGTTGGAAACGTGGCCAGCCGGTTTAGCATCATGATTTCAAGGCGAGAAAATCGAATTAATGCATCATCAGTCACCACCTTCAACAAAGAGACTGTTAAAATGTTTTCCCTCCTTTGTGCTTGCTTAATCTAACCGATTCGGTTGCCAGTGGTGTACAATTAGTCACTTGGCAACGGGACACAGGTCGTGGCTTTGTTAATGATAATGTGCGGCAAGTTCCAGGCTGTGCCGTCTCTGGGTACACATGCAGAAGTGAAAAGCTGTTACCCTTTGCTGGTTTTCAGTAACCTTGCTGCATAAAGGCTCTCAGGAGGGAATAGAGCAAGGACACAGCAGCTGCTTTTATTTACAGGCAGCCAAGACAAACTGTCTGATCTTCTAGTTTGAGAATGCAGCATAAAGGTCTTTACATTTGTTACATACTCAGCAGTTTTTCATACATCGTTCACAAGAGTGCACTTATCTCTTTCATAGACGCGTCTTGATAACGTTACATTTGTGTGTCATGAGTTGTTCTTTGAAGTTCGTTTCCCTCCTTCTGGCTATCTAATCTCCTGTGATACGGCTCTTCACTTGATGAGCGCTGAAAGTGATGTCGCGCGAGAAAGCTTTAAGAAAGTGCCAACTGTCACCACTTAGCCTTGGTTGGACACTTCACGCTTCCTCCACTGAGTCTTTTTGTCCTGAGTCCCAGGATGTGTGGAGAGTTTTTACAGTTAGAAGGGTCAGTATTGATGCTGTCTTTTTGTCCACTCTGAAATGTTCAGCATGCACAGTCGTCTTCTTGTCCCTGTTGGTCATCCATGAATGATAATGGCTCATTTAGTTTCATTCTTGGATCCAGTATTGAGTGTGCCCAGGCTCGAGGCAGCAGCTGTAATACATTTATACAATCCGGTCTTGACCTGTTTGCCTTTTTCCTCGAGGACTGCACGGCCTAACGTTTTATCAAAGGTTTTGTGCGGTGACTTTCATTACAGAGCTTGGCAATTTAAACAGCTTAGGAGGGTTTTTGCTGAGGTGTTTTCCTTTCTTTAAGACATTATTGAATTTATTCTAACTTCTGCTCAGGGAAAATTCATGTTTGTGCCATTCGGTGTTTTAAATCACATTTTTATGACGTGAATCTCAACAGTGTGAGATGTGATGCTGTGATGTATTTAAGATTCAGATCAGGTTCTGAGAGGCATTGCTATCACATGGAAAGATAATAATGGAATTAATCCCTAATCCCAGTTTTGCATTTAAGCACTTGATAGAAAAAACCTTAGAGAACTTTAGCTCATGAAATAAGCTTATTATAGTCTTCATATGCTTGTTAGTTTTAGTTTATTATCTGTTATTTATCCTTTTCATTATTTAGAGTGTGTTTTTTTCATGGGTTATGATTGAGCGAGTAAAAGCTGTGAACCCAAAGAACCCTGACTCAAGTTTATTATTTAATGTTGCTCAGAAAAAAACACTTTACACAAGGGATCATGGGACTGCTTGCCCTCTAATAATACCCGTGCTTGCTTTCCCATGCCACCCTCTGCATTCAGTCGTGCTTCTTTTTAGAAGAGCTATGAAAAAGTGCACGTGACCAGGTTTCCCTTTAGTCAAGCTGCTCTGTGGCCTGATAGGACGAGCTGCTCTGTGGAAAACACCAGAGGCGGCCTTTAGGTGTGTCAGCGTGGTTGAATTTTTGAAATCTTGCCTAACATTTTAAGTTCTCCCTGCGGGTATCGCCTAAAATAAGCTTGTTTGTAGTCAAGTTGCTTATTTAGATAAAAAGCATTATGTTCTCCGTAACTTTCCGTGCACACGCCGCGGGCTGTTACGACTTGATTGTTATGATAAGATACACCGTGAGGATCAGGATTAGATAATATTGCAAATTGCTGTCTCCTTGTGCTTTCATTCAGTACCGGTGGCCCATACAGAGGATGTTTATTTTCCCAGAAGATGCGAGTTTAATCATAGCAAACTGATATGAACTTTCAAAGTTGCTGGCAGAATTTTTATATAAAACACTATCTTGGGCATCATTTCTGAGGAAGACCTTTCACTGTCATCTCGTGTGTGCAGCTGAGAACCATTTAGCTGTCAGTTTGCTGGCAACAGAGGCCTCTGTAGTGTTGACGTCTCGAACACATTTAGACATGGCTTTATAATTAGATAACAGTGTCTGTGGGAGTTGGGATGTTGTGGCCACTAAGGTGCTAATTTATGGTTGTAATTTAGCTTTAATTTGGAAGCTTCCAGTGATCAGATTGATGCTGTCTTCTAAAGGGATTTCGTGCTTTTGATGGTCTTAGTAGTAGCTACGGAATTTGCATCCCGCTTGCCACACTTGCCATAAAGGGAAGTCACATAAGATGTCTGTTTGTTGTCATCAAACACTTATCACAGACTATCTTTGTTAACCCACCTGGCTGCCGAGCCTCTGGGGAGGAATGGGTGGTGCTTGTTTTCTAATGGACTTCTTTGAAAGAAGAGGAGCACTCGGGCGCTGACATCTCATTTTGGGGAAGTGAGATCTCTGTAGACCACTGAAGAAAAAGCCTCTCTCTGTATCTGTCCTCAGAGCCCCGAACCTCCAGCTGCATGCAGCTGTGAAACCCACAACTATGCACTTGTTAAACTTGTGTTCTGAAACACTAACAGTGTTGTCCTCGAACTATCCAAGCTTTAAACGCCACCACCACAGATGCTTGTGTCCCTGATGCTGAACTTTTACCCACTGTTTAGACAAATCCACGTAATGTAATGACAAAAGGAAAAATAATCCCAACTCGTGTGTCACATCAATTATAAATGATCTGTTTATTTGCAGCGGTAAACTCATGTACAGGAAGAATGTGTGCAAGGCCAGAAAATTGCATAACAAACTGTGATGTGCTAATGAGTGAGCATTAATTAGCTGCTCCACTTTCCACACTGTGTAAATGCAAGCCAATCTGAGCAGGCCTGAGCTGTTCACCTGCCTGTCCCGCCCCTGTTTTCTCAGGAAGGAGAACACACCCTGTGGTTGCTGTGCCAGATGGAGCTGTTGTCATTGCACCATTCATTCTTTTGCCACAGATATTGATTTTTGTAGCTTTGGTACATAGATGATAGCAGCACCATGGGTTAAAATCCACCATTTGAATCTAAAATCATAGGGTGGAGGGAACCACATGCTTCCATGAAATAGCTATAGGTTAGGGTGGATGTGGAGAACAACTTGTTGACACGGTTCAATCAACACATCTCTTTCTGTCACCTAATATATATACACACACATGGCGAAGTATAGGTCATATTGCGGCACTCAGAGGGGGCTTGAATCCTTTTGGGGCTTGAAATACGGAGGTGTCACTTTACATGTGGGAGCTTCTGTCATCAGGGATTGTGTGTTTGCACAGAATGCCATTAAAATTGCAAAATGTGTTAAATTCAGTGTTATTCAAGCGACATTATCTTCTGTGATGCCACTTACTGTTACACCGGTGACGCCGATTATATCTGTTTAATATATGCAATGTCATTTTAGCTACCCGCACAAGATTGTTGAGCCAGCATGTGAGCTTGGTTCATATTTCTGTGTATGTCTTGTGTGCCAGTGTTAACGCACCAAGTGGTGATTTGGCAAAGCGCCAGCTACAAAATGCCATGTCGTGTGCAGCAGCAGGGTGGTGTAAATATAGCTGGGAAAAGACTTCTCACTATGAGATGCTGTCCTTTTGAAGTCTTCATCTCCTTTTTGTTTACTATTTTTCAGAGGCTACAGTCGTCCTGCCGCCTCACCGCGTGGGCTGTATTTAGGGTTTTTATGTGAAACTTAGTTAGCATGCGTGAGCTGGCTGTTCGTGTCAAAAAGACAGCCTTTTAAAGTAAAACATTGTCACTAGTCAGGCAGTTGTCAAGTCTAACTGCTCGTAAAAGTAATAGCATAAACAGTGTTTGAAGGCTCGCTACGGAGCTGCTTGTGCTGTTTAGCCAACCACGCAGCCTCCAGCAATGCTAGATAAGCTGTAAAAGGTTTTTACAGTTACGTGGAACTCCTCCAGAACTGGTTTAGCACACAAACAAAAACACAAATGAGTGTTGGGAGAAAAAAACCTACCACTTTTCTAGTTTCTCATCTCCTGAATGCAAACTTATGACAAACGTGTTTGAATTGCACCCAGGGGGTGTAGATGTGCCATTTGAGATCTGTCAATAAGGACGCTTTGCATATTATTTTCATTTTTTCCTTCATGAATTCAAGGCCGTGGTGTTTGCATCAGTAACTACACAGCCAACTGTACGCTTTTCATATTCTTTATCCAACTTTCAGCTTCAAGATCAGAGAATATTAGTCGTAGTTGAAATGAGCAAATGAGTACCGGCGAGCTCTGACATGTCTGCACAGCCTACGCAAAAATCAGATCCCACAGATGTTAACAGTGAAGAATACAGATTTTTAAGCTGAAATTAACATGCAGTGTTCATACAGTAGTGCTTCCATTTACCTAGGAGCTCTGCATTTTCAAGTAGCTGCTAAGTCTCAAGCAGAAGTTAGAATTAGTTCTCTGAGCAGTGACATACCACGGGTGTGGAATGTCACAGCTGATTGCTGCTGTAATGTTGTATTAGCAGGTTTAAGTTTGCTTGCTGTCTAGATATTTTATATTAACCCACAAGCTGAGATGCATACACTGACGCAGCTAATTTCCCTCCCTACATGCATCTCATTTTGTTTCTATCCATTTTCCAGGGTTCCATCTGATTCCTCGTCTGTCCAGCATCGTGCCAGAGAGCTGCCTGTTGATTGTGGTGGGCCTGCTGGTGGGAGGCCTCATCAAACTAGCTGGAGAGGAGGTCCCACCAGTGCTGGACTCTCGATTGTTCTTCCTCTGCCTGCTGCCCCCCATCATCCTGGATGCTGGCTATTTCCTGCCCATCCGCCCCTTCATGGAGAACCTGGGCACGATCCTGATGTTTGCTGTTGTGGGCACTCTGTGGAATGCCTTCTTCATCGGGGGCGTGCTGTATGGCGTCGCTCAGATTCAGCCGGCCAACCCGTCAGACCTCCACCAACTAGATCTTCTGCCTTGCCTGCTGTTCGGCTCGATCATCTCAGCTGTGGATCCTGTTGCTGTGCTCGCTGTGTTCGAGGAGATCCATATCAATGAGCTGCTCCACATCCTGGTGTTTGGCGAATCACTGCTCAATGATGCCGTAACTGTGGTGAGTGATCAGAACAGAGATAAGACAGAATGTAGTTGAGTAAAGACTTCCATGATGTCTTATGAGAGATTGCCTGTGTTGTTTCATTCGTTCGGCTATAAAGTCAGCATGTGGAATTAAATTTTTATTCCTTTAAGTTTCTAATCTACTGACTAGCCTCTCACCACACAGTCATTCTCAGCTGACAGCATGCCAGCTGTTAACTGGCCTTTTCCAATACTGCACCATTTACAGTGTCATGTTACTGACAGTGCTTGTGTTGTAGATATCAGAGGCCCCAGCTTTAGTTTTAACGACTCGGGCTTTTGTCATTGGAGGAACAAGTAGCACAGCCTAAGTTAATATTGTGCTAAATATTTCCACATATCTTTCCCAGTATATCCATCATATGCTCTGCATGCTCATTCCTCAAGGACGCTTGTTGACAGGTCATATGTTCAGCTGCTAGTTTGGCACCACTGCACATTTATGAAAGCAGGAAGGTACTACGTTACCATCAGCCCAGAGAGAGCTCATCGCCCTAGAATAGCTTGGAAATCCGTTCTTGATGATGCGACCTTTGGTTGTAGATTTGTGATCTGCTGTGACATTTGCCCTGTTGTTTTTTTTTTGTTTTTGCACAATGTGAAACCATTCCATAGGCCAAATCTACTTTTAGTAGCCTCCATATGACCACTTTTTTTTTTAATGTTCCTCTTTTGAATGCAGTCAATCAATCCAGACACAGTGTACATGTGTATATGCCAGAATTGTTGTTGTAAATGTGTTTTAAATGTGTTGTCATATATCATAATCAACATCACTCTTTTTACATTCTGATGCTATTTGGCCATGTTCATTAACCAATGCTTCATCTCACCTCTTTTTTTATTGTTTACTCTGTTCCTCTCCCCTCTCTCCTATTCCTCCCTGTCGTAGGTACTGTACCACCTTTTTGAGGAGTATGCAGGCGTCGGCACAGTGACCGTGTTGGACGGCTTGCTGGGAGTCATCTCCTTCCTTGTAGTTGCATTGGGTGGTGTTCTGGTGGGAGCCATCTATGGGATCCTGGCTGCCTTCACCTCGCGCTTCACTTCGCACACGCGTGTCATCGAGCCACTGTTTGTCTTTGTGTACAGCTACATGGCCTACCTGTCGGCTGAGATATTCCACCTCTCCGGCATCATGGCGTAAGTTTGGGGGTTGAGAGAGAGACCTATAGAGTAACACATGTTGTACATACAGTAGACGACAAACCTGAGCTCACCTTTGTGCAAAATCACTACATGTTGAATGACTCAAAATTGTATAATTTTACTCCAATAGTCTTGTTGTTAAGTAGATTTGTTTGGTATTTAATCACATGGATAGTTAGAAAGATGTTAAGTAGAGTAGACTGAATTTATGAACACCAAAATACAACCTCAGCTGAACAGAAGTAGGTAACCTGTGACCACTGCAACAGTTGTGATTACACGTGCGATTTCCAATTGATGCTACTTGCGTTTTCAGAATTATAAAATAAGCTGCAAACACCTAAACTTTCTTAATTTTGTCCTGTTTGTATTTAATGCGACAAGGTTCCACATGGTAATGAATCAGAGAGCAGACTGTAAGACTATATGAAGATGAGAGATTAAAAAATAACATCAACAGGCTACAGAAACACAGCTGGAACAGTTTCCACAGTGGTGATGAGGTATAGAAAGACCAATAACAGAGGGCCTAGTGGCTATGCTGTGGAAATAGGTATTTCAGTGACTGTCCAAACCAGGGGTGTCCAATCCTGGTCCTCGAGGGACTCATCATCAAGCTCTGCAGAAGCCTGATAACGATGCTGATCATTTGAATCAGGTGTGTTGGAAGAGGGAAACAGCTAAAACATGCTGGACTGTGGCCCTCGAGGACCAGGATTGGACACCCCTGGTCCAAACAGTTTGAAAGACACTGGTTAGCAAGGATCCAGACTAACTTTTTTACTGGTAGCACCAGATGTGAGTCACACCTCCCGCGTCATCACAGGCAAAACACATCACTTGCAGAACATTTTCTTATCTAATTTTTAAGTGTAAATACCACAATAGATCGTGTTCATATAATGTGGGAGCTAGAAATCATTATTTTCATTAATATTCGTTTCATTCTGCGACCCTATGTCTGTTATGTTTTTCGTTGTACTGAATGAGTTCGTTTTTTTCCTTCACTGGTCAGCGGCTATTGTCTGCCTGCATTTGCACTCTGATCATCAGGTCTAACCTCTTCCTCTCCGCCTCCTCGTTCCTCATTTTCTTTTTAAATAATCAGCTGCAGATCACTTTATCTTTTTAACACACGTCAAGTAAACTGCTTGTTTGATGCAACAGGCAGAGACAGACTGGCAAAACCACCAAAGTTATAAAGGGCTAATTTCCACCACTGTGGTTAACACAGCAGCTGCCTGCGGTTGCAGTGAAACCAATACGTCTTAATGATCACCATGCACTCCCTCGAATGTGACCTGTTGAAACTTCAATTCACATGCTCTCAAAAAAAGATTGCAAATGCGACCGTTTTGGCCGCAGTATGGAGCCCTGGATGTGGTTAGCCTCTGCGACTGTCTTAGAAGGAAACCATTGCTCTCAAAACTGCAAGATTAAAATCTGCCATAAGACATGAAAAGAATTCTCTTTGGGCTTCGGCAAAAAAAAAAGATAATTTTTTTTTTTTTATACTGGCCAGGGATGGAGTCAGTTTTGTTGCATACTGTATTTGTATTGTCTTATTTCCATGAAACGTAAAGGGTTAAAACCACCTGCCTAATACTGTGTAGGTCCCCCTCATGTCTCCAAAGCAGCTCTGACCAGTTGGGACATGGACACTTGGGTTGTCCTGTGGTGTCTGGCACCAGAAACCTGACAGCAGGTCCTTGGGGTCCTGTGGGTAGCTGTATGATGTGTGACGAAGTAGCATCAATGCCAGGACCCAGATTTCCATTTTACATGCCAGTGGTTTTAATGTTATGTATTTACCGTGTAATCTACAAACAATGAGTCATTGCTTCCTGTTTTTTTTGACAATTTTCACAAAAAAATAATGCGTGTGCTTTTCCAGTTACCAACTTCCTCATATTTAGTTTTAGATATACGGTGTATGCATTCAGTAGATGTTTTTAAAATCGTGTTAGAACGACGAGGCCACGTCGTGTTAGAAACAAAACACATCAGGGTGAGCCTCTAAACTACTGTACGCAGGTTCAGCATTTCAAACTGAATATCTGCTGTGTCATGTCTGCTCCTGTGAAACACTCCTTCAGGATTGTTCTCTATGTACAGCATAGTTATGATGTACGGCTCTTTCCTCAATGATTACGTCATGGTCTATATACGGCCTTGCTACTGGAGGGAAACTCTTATTTCAGTTGTGCATCTTGACAGATTACGCTCCGTATAACCGGCGGTATAATGAATTAATCTGATTTAACACCACCTACACCAGGCCTGGATTTATTGGCATCTGAAAATTCTCCGAGGTGCCATTTCATCAGCTTCCCCGGTACATAGCTGTGCCTTTTCTGTTTAAGGATTTAGGTGCTATCGATGTTGCTGACAGGAGGGGCTGATATACTGAGTCTCTCCCCTCTGTGTCAGGGCCAATGGGTTTGTCGCTTCAAGGACAATTCCTTGCGATGCCGCTGGCTGTGTCACTGCACCTCACATCCAGAGTCTGGATTTGGTTTTTCCGTATCTATTGCTCACAAAGGTGGAGTGAATCAGCTTACCGGTGTAAATTCTTTTCATCATTTCTCTAATGCCTTGAAAGCCGAACCAATATTGACACGGAGGAGGAATGGCGGTGAATGCTGAGCAGCTGCTGCGGCTTATGAGACACAGATGATGGTTGTCGTTGGCCTTCACATTTTTGACACACAAACATCGCATGACACTAACATGGAACAGAGAAGTGGTCACCAGACAGGGAGGAACTCAGGCTCGGTAACCGGAGCTCTCTTTTAGTGGAAAACGATGAGGTCACCGCTGCTAACTACTTAGCTCAAACTTCGTCAGAACTGCATTTTCCCTTGAAAATCTCTCGATCTGTGTTGATTGGCGTAATTTTACTAACGCTGTTTTGATTTGGATAACAAGGAAGAAGTTTAGAAACAAGCAAACTATTCAAATGCTTCCTAGTTTGTACATCCTCTACAGCAGGGGTGGGCAATCCTGGTCCTCGAGGGCCACAGTCCTGCGTGTTTCAGATGTTTCCCTGATCAGGATCATTATCAGGCTTCTGCAGAGCTTGATGATGAGCTGATCATTTGAATCAGGTGTGTTGGAAGAGGGAAACATCTAAAACATGCAGGACTGTGGCCCTCGAGGACCAGGATTGGACACCCCTGATCTAAAACATGCAGGACTGTGGCCCTCGAGGACCAGGATTGGACACCCCTACTCATTTAACATCTTTCAACCGAGCTAACATCTGCCTCTTTCCTTTCCAGGTTAATAGCATGTGGAGCGGTGATGCGACCCTACGTGGAGGCGAACATATCTCACAAGTCGCACACCACCATCAAGTACTTCCTGAAGATGTGGAGCAGCGTCAGTGAGACACTAATCTTCATCTTTCTGGGCGTGGCCACGGTGGACGGACCTCACGCCTGGAACTGGACCTTCGTCACCGTCACGGTCATTCTGTGTCTGGTTGCACGAGTCATAGGTCAGCTCTAGCGCAGTACTTTTTTAAATTAACGTAATCGTGCTACGCTGGGTTGTGAAGTAATGTCATGCAACAGAGGAAGTGTTATGATACATTGCTGGTTTATGCGGTAGATCTGTTTAATACTTTGGTTGGGTAATAGGCAGCCGCTTCAGATTTTATCTTGATGTGCTTTTGGTTTTAAGTCGGTTATCATTTGTAAGGCTTAAAAACAAATGTGAAAGCTCGATTTTAAGCATCCCTATTGAAATGTATAACAGCACACTTTACAATGAGTTTAATTTGTACAAAAATAAGGGAACTGGGAGCAGTGACTGGAGTAAACGTTGCCGTAATGTTTCATCACACGGCTGTTGGTGTGTGAGAGAAACGGCTGCTGGGGACTTCCTCATTGACTTCAGGATGTCAAAAGTCCTTTTGGTAACGATTTGTCATCCTCTAGACTCATGTTTGCCTGAGAGAAATTGAAAGTGAAGGAGTCGTGAGGACTGTTCTCTTATTTAATTAATATTTTCATCCCCAGAAGCTCATGTCTGCAGATCATAACCAGTCAATAGTCACACGTCTTGCTTACATCACATGATAAAAGATGCTCTGATGGAAAACAATTCAAGTTGTTCTTGTTCGAGTTCAACAACATTTCTTGCATTTTTTTTATGATAAGTCAAATATAGGTTGTCTTATTACCAACTATTTTCCAAAGCATGCTTTAGCATAGTACAGTTTTAGTGGTGTTTTTGTTGTCTTCCAGGCAGCACTTGGTTTATTTCACTGCACTAGAACTTCAGATTTAAACAGCTTTGGTGGAAATGGATAGTCCATGAAATTGTGAAAGACTTTTAAAAAGTCAACAATACAATATCATATAACAAAATGTAAATCTGACATTAATTCTACTCTCAAGTAGGTTTCATTTCTTTTTAAGCTGTTTTTTTTAATGACGTAGTGTATTAAGGCGATACGACACTTACACACTGGAGAGTCTTAGTGCAGAAAGTGTGTTATTCTTAGATTCACTCACTTTCTTTTTGTTGTGCTGCCACTGGCCTCTAAACAGTTGCTGCTTTACGTAGGTCTGCGACACACTGACAGAGTGTCTGACTGACAAAACCAAACTCAGTCGTCTGCTTTCCTTCGCAGGTGTGGTTGGTCTGACCTACGTAATCAACAAGTTCCGCATTGTCAAGCTGACGACCAAGGATCAGTTCATTATAGCCTACGGTGGCCTGCGGGGTGCCATTGCCTTCTCCCTTGGCTTCCTGCTGAACCAGGACCACTTTCCCATGAGAAAGATGTTCCTCACTGCCATCATCACCGTTATCTTCTTCACTGTCTTTGTTCAGGTATGGGCATCTTATTTCGGTTGACTTGTGTTCTAAACCAACTTTAGTTGAATTATTCTCATAGTTTAATCGTAGCAATTAGACCTGCTTGAGTTTCTTGAAGACGTTCCACCTCTCATCCAAGAGGCTTCATCAGTTGTGACTGACTAGTTGGGAGTTCCAGATACTTATATCCTTAAGGAGCCATTAACACTTGAGCTTCGGCTTCACTTGGGGGTTTGTTGCTCCTCCCCCATTGTGGCAGGGGGAGTACTAATGACTCACATAACAAATAGAAGGAGCAGAAGACCCCCAATTGAAACCGAAACTCAAGTGTTAATGAAGCCTCTTGGATGAGAGGTGAAACGCCTTCAAGAGACTCAAGCAAGTCCAGTTGCTACGATTAATAAAGTACGAGAATAACCATGACCTGGATGACTGAGAATCTTCAGACAACTTTAGCAGGAGAAAACTTGTAAGGAGTCATTAATACCGCCTACATTTACAGTGATGCTTATTTAAGCTGTGCAAACAGATTCTTGCAGTTAAACTCCTTTACTGTGAATACCCATATTACACACTTGTTTCAGCTGTTCTCTGGTGCACTGTCCCCAGTAGACGGTGTGTACGGACCTGTGTGCATCTGTCATTATGTCGTATATTTGCATCTCAATAGGACTGATTTGAATTGTTGCTTGCATCACTGTTTAAATCCTCACTGGCTAACACAGCTTTATTTAGTTTAGCACAGAACAAATGTTTGTTTGCAGCCATTCATACGTGCAGAAGGTTGACCATGAAATAAATGGAATGCACATACATACAGGCAGATGCTGGTTTCTTACCTGTCCTAGAAAAGGCCTGTTTGATCTCACATCAGTAGCTTAACCTGAAGTAGTCAGATGGTCTTTTTTTTTTCTCAGCTTGTGCTGGTTTATGAAATATGCTATCATCTTACAGTACCAGACAGGCGAGATAATTCATGCAGAAAATGAAATAACTATATAAAAGGAACAAAAGATATGGTTTATGTAAAGTTCCACAAAGTCTTGTCACTGAGTGAAGCGTGAACCTGAAGATAATATACAACAATGGTGCATGAAGGAACGATACACGCATGCAGCGATTGTGTCTATATTAAGTTTTGTTCATTTTAAGCGCTGCTGTGCACATTGTCAGATAAACCAGCCCCTAGGTGGAGGTGGAGGAAAATTCTTGGATGTGATCTGGACTCAAAAAGGCAGCTGCTAAAATAAAACCCTGAAAAAAAATGTTGTCTCTCCTCAGAGGCTAGATTAGAAACATATTTTATTCATAGTGCTGGATTCAGCTCTGCACTCTGATGCTGTGACTGAGGCAGGCCAGAAGGTGGAAGGTAGAATCCTCTGTTACCTGCAATGTGGAGTTAAAAATACGAGTCTGTGTGAGTACGAGTGAAAGCGAGTGTTTGTTGTTACATGCAAGAGAGTCTACCTGGTATGAAGTGAAAACCTTTATCGTGATAAGTTAGTGCTTTTAAAGCTGAGTAAGGTTAGATTGGTGAGAGATTCATAACGTCTGTAATAAAAAAGTTTGTTTGCATACCTACTGCATAATAGTACAGGGTATTATTAAAGAGCAGGAATCTTTTGTCACCTCATCCTACGTTTGGCAGGCTTGATCTTCTTGAGATGTAGAGTGATACACTCATGTGCAGACAGGAACAAGCATGCACAAACACACACACACACACACACACACACACACACACACACACACACCACTCCCCCTGAAATGCTGTAATGCTGTTTTCGCCAGTGCTCCTGGTTGTGATCTCCAAGTGACCTTACGTAAGAATGATGTTAGAATCTGTGTTCCTGCACCCACTCTGTTATTTAATGTTGTGTTTTTCCCTCCATCATGTTGATGCCTTTACCAAAATCCTACCGTATGTAATTACACGTGAGGATAATTCCAGAATATCTATGATAGTTATCTGTAAGAAAAGGAGGAAAATAAAACTGATGTTTGTTTTTATTTTTCAGCTGACTTGTTTGCTCATGAACGAGGTCGATTTTTAGAAACATATCATCTTAACAAACTTGTAATTTGTGTTTTGATCAAATTCCTCCTTTGTATAATTGCAGTGAAATCCCCGTACTAGCAGGTTGTTAACACTGCAAAATGAAAATAACAATACTTTGCTGTTATCACTCTTTGCCTTAACAGAACATCAAAGTTTAGAATATGTCTAAAGCTGAATTTGTTCTTTAACAAATGCACATCTTTGCCTTGTATACTTCAAAGCAGTCCGTTAAGGGAGCAATAACTGGAGCACAAAATATTGTTTGATGTTGTGTACAACCAGAAGGACTTTCATGTATTTGTCTTACTAGGATGTGGCTGATTTTTAAAGCTGAAATCTGTGACTTTGTGCGTGTTGTTATCTTCCGATGCGGAGCAATCATTACTGTAGGACTTTGTTGCAAAACGCCAGTGTGATACAACTGATCCTTGACTTGATTTGAGCAACCAGGACGAGTATAACCCTGTGATCTGAGGCAGTGTGTCACGAGTGTGGCCTTATTAGTGTGGCAACATTATTCTGACACGCACAGAGCTCATAGAAAACACTACGGATTAGAGCTTTGAAGCACTTGCACTGATTAGTTGATAAGAATCTGTTTCTGTCATTAGCCAAGGCTGTTTACAGTGAATAATGTTTTGTTCCTTTTGTCCTACGTAAAGGGCATGACCATCAAACCCTTGGTGGAGCTGCTGGCAGTGAAGAAGAAACAAGAGGCCAAGCGCTCAATTAATGAGGAGATCCACACCCAGGTACAACCGTTTTTTTCAACCACAGGACACATTCTGTATAAATTCATTAACTGCATGTAGAATGCTGATAAATGCATCAACTCAAACAAACACACAGACATAAATATAACCAACAAAAGGTTCTTGGATGGAGGATTGCACAGCAGTTGCACACATGATAAAAATTTGATGAGAAAATCTTTGAGTGGCATTATGCATTCCCCTTTTGTTATGTAAAATGTGACAGCCTTTTCCAATCAAGCCTCTGAGACCTGTGGTTTATCAAACTTTGATCACTGCTTCCACCTACTGGCTGTGTGGTGATACTTCACATCAGTATACTGACAGTGCAATGGTGGTACAACACACTGAATGTCATTCCAGAGGTGACTTATTTTGTCCCTTTCAATAACCGCAGCTTTTTTACCATCTAGTTAAATCTAACTTTTTTATATGTAAGTGTAGACTCACATGCACAAAAACACCTCCTTGTGTCTATGGTTCCTGGTACTCAGACAAATCTATAAGTAACCACATTGCCGCACAATCCCCGAGTGTTTTAAAGCTATTAATACGACTCAGATAAGTACACACACGCATGCATGCACACACACACACACATGGCCGCTCTGTGGCTTGGCGATGAGTCACCAGCGGTCAAGGCCAGAAGAGCAGGTTGCCCTAATGGCTTCTGCACCACTGTAGAACACCAGCGGTTGGAGTCAGCAGAGCTGGCTGAGGAGAGCATCACACTGGAACGCAATGTGGCAGTGAATCCAAAAGCCTCCGACATACCTGTTTGTTATTTATTTTTGCAAGGTATTGGGTGTCATACAGCATCTATCCCACCTGCCACATAGATACGGCAGAGCCTTTCAAGCACCTTGTAGTGGGAGGGAATTACATGACAACTCAGGATGCAATGTTATGACAGTATACTCCTCACGCTGACAGTAGCATCACGGTATAGATGATATACTGCTTGTATGGGTTATATTTGTGCAACTGCATAGGAAAACGGTAAGCTATTTTTTGAAAAGGCATTCGCTGCTTTGCACAATCGAATAGATTACTGAGATAAAATAGTGTGTGACAAAGGTGGAGTCTGAGATTCACTCATTGAACAACATTTGCATCTGCGGCTGCATTCAAATGCCAGACAGACATAAACTTGTGAAGGGAGAAGGTCCAGAGTTGAGATGCTTATAGTGAAATAACAGTATATCTGTGACCAGTAGAGAATGTGTCTGTATTAATTATTCAGCTCATTCGTCATCTGCAGGTGTTAACTCTCCAGAGAAACTTTTTCACCACCCCGGCATACGGGCCAGTCTTTATATAAATCAGTCACTTTTGACAAAGCAGAAGTAGATTCTTTGCCTCTGCTTAATGACTTGTTCCCATAGCAACACTGCCTGTCAGACTTTCTTGTGCAGGCTTAGTCAGAGCACCGGGGTGATCTGCGGGCTGGCCGCAGACTGAGCAACAAATGCATTTCTCTGGTTCTCTGAGCAGGCATGCTGCCACTGTTAATAAACTCTGTCCAATCAATCACCTGGCTGCTGCTGCCGCTGGTTTTCTCTCATGGATTCCATTTTAAAACTCGCCGCCTGCTGTTGTTGATAATGATGTTGACGGTCGTACCTGAGGGGGTGTATTTACTGTGAGGGATGGTAACACTGGTGAAGCAAAAGGTACACACAGTTTTGTGTCTGCAAACTGAATTGAATCACTGTTACGTTCTTGATCATAATTACACCATGTAGACCAAAAACATGTTCCAGATTTTTGCCTCAAAGTGGAATATTGTGCATAGAAAGAGAAGAAAAAAGGAGCAGGTGAGCGCCACTAACAAGACAAATCTGTTTATTTACCAATTAAATGACATCACACCACAGCACATGCAGAATGGAGCCTTTTGTAATTGTGTGTATTAGATAATACTTTTTGTACCTTGCTGAGTCTGTTTTACAATAAATAAAAAGACTGGGGGCAGCTGAGTCCTTGTTCAATCTGTAGCTGTTTTTTTTTTTTGTTGTTCAACAACTTTTCTTTGTCTTCATCCACAGTTCCTTGACCACTTACTCACTGGAATAGAAGATATCTGTGGACACTACGGACATCACCACTGGAAGGACAAGTATGAGTTTCAGAGGGAACTGACATTACAGCGTATAGTTAGGAGAGAACTACATTATTTGCATTACTTCTTTTACAGACAAATGCTCATCACAAATGTCTTCATATTCATGTCAAATTATTCAATCTTTGACTGTGAAACTCTAAATATTGGTTATTAGTTTTTCCCCAGTGAGTAGCTTATATTATGAATTAATTGTCAAAACTGTAATTTGTTAAGTTTCTGTCTTATTCAGCTGATTATATTTAACCCTACAGACAACACACAATACAGCTGTGGCTGTAAATGTTGATATTTCACACCATATAACCTCTTTTGTTTCCTTCTAATACAAACACTCTTTCCATCCTCTCTCCTTCTCGTCTCTGTTGTTGTCGTTCACTCCTGTCCTCCTCTCAGACTGAACCGCTTCAACAAGAAGTATGTGAAGAAGTGCCTGATTGCAGGCGAACGCTCCAAGGAGCCGCAGCTCATCGCTTTCTACCACAAGATGGAGATGAAACAGGCCATTGAGCTGGTGGAGAGTGGAGGGGGAGTCAAGCTTCCTTCTGCCGTGCCTTCCACCGTTTCCATGCAGTGAGTCGTGAAGAGCCTCACGCTCGGTTTAAGTGCTTAAGCACTACTTATCGTATGACATTTCTTTTGCCGTGCTGTTCGTATTTTTTCGAATTACCTTCTGTTTCAGTCATAAATTCTACAACATGAGTGAGTTTATAGGTTTAGGCCGTCATAATAAAATAGATCCATAAGCCACAACAGAGTCAGTCAAGCTGTAGAGGTTTTATTCATACATGTTGTTTCTATATTGCAAGATATCAAATGAGAAACTGCGAGATATCATATAAGGGATTTTTGCCATGCACAATACTTGAAATATATGGCCCATGTGTGTCGCATGGAGAACAATGCCTTGCAAAAGCAGGTATTGTTTGACAAGCGAACACCCAATAGGACTTCGACAAATGTTGAAAAGTTACTGAGTGTAGACCGCACACAAGCAAAGAGGACAATGCTGCATGGCTCGGACTTTAACCGACTGCTGGACACACGCTTAGTCCAAAGTCACGCCCAAGAGCCAAGAGCAGGCCATAGAGAAAGCCTGATGATGATATTACCTGTAGTCATATTCAGTGGCTTCATGTTTAACATCAGAATGCCTTTAATAGCTTTCGGAGTTTAATTTCTTTTGGCAAATCTATTTAAAGGAAGATGGCGCAACATACATTTTATCCCGAGATGTCCTGGTGTTTTAGTATCTTGTGGATTACAGCAAGCAGGGCTCACTAATTTCACATCTGCAGTAAAAGGTACTTAGTGGTAAAATGCAAAAACAAGCTTTGGTTAGTCTTACTGTCCAGTGCAAGACTCATTCTTCAATAAATATGCATACACTGAGGACATTTGGATACACAGTGAAGTCTCAGTGTTCATAATCTGTTTGCATACCACTATAAAACATCTATATTTTTACTCTGTTGCTCTCAAACCAAAGTCAAACAAACATCAATTCAGCTAACATCACGTCATGTTTGGCATACCACTTACTTTATGTTATTTTTCTGTTACACAAAGATATAATAATAGCTTTAATAATAAGTTAAGTAAATTATTGCACTCTTTTTAAAAGCTTTGCCGTTCACTAGCAGCCCACACAGCGACACACTTTCTCTCAGGCATCTCATCTTTAGATGGCCAGAGAAATTACTGAGGGAATTGCAATGCCAGAGGTTTTATTGCAAACATTATAGATATTTCACCAAAGCAAACAGGACTTGATGCGTTTGCACGCCTATAGGTTATTCCCACTAGTGTGCAGTATAGAATCTCTGATCATCCTTCCTGTATACTTGTCAGGAACATTCAGCCCAAGAAGCCTCCACCTGTCAAGGCAGCAGAGAGGGCGCTGCCTCAGCTGCCCAAAGGCCGAGAGGAGGAGATCAGGAAAATCCTCAGGAGCAACCTTCAAAGGACACGACAGAGGGTAAAACTGCTCATATATAAATAGTTAGACACGTTTTTTTTCTCCTGTTTATTATTATTAACATTGATGTGCGCTGATGAACAACCTGCTCTGTTGGTTTATGATGTATTGATTGAATCAGGAGCTCTACTCAGACATCGACTAGTACTGATTTTTTTGAGGACACAGAAAAGAGCTTCTCATTGATTTACACTGGTAAAAAAAATAAATGAATCATGGCTGGGGTAAATGAACAATGATGTCTTCATTTAATAAGATTTTTTTTGTTTGTGTCCTCAGCTGCGCTCCTACAACAGACACACTCTGGTGGCAGATCCTTACGAAGATGGATTCGGTGACTTGCTTTTAAAGAAGCAAAAGATGATCGAGCTGGAGAAGAAGGTACGCTTTGTTTTATTGGCCGGCACAAAAGAAGTTTGAGATATTTCGATATACAACAAAGTTTTCCAGCATAACATACCGGCTATATTACTCGCTATATTCCACGAAGCAGCCTGTGCTAAATCATGACAAACAAACACAGGAGACTCCCAAAGAACCAATAAAGCTCTTCTTATGTCACACCGGGCCACCAGCAGTTGAATGATTCAGCCAAAAACTATGATTTGTGTTCTAATTAGATTCCACTTTCAGTCTCCTAAATTAATTTTCTCAACGCAAATAGGAGCTGATTTATTTGCCCAGTTGAGCGGCCCTACCTATCTTCCATTTCACCAGCCTGTAATTACGTAATGAAAATAGACTCTTGTTTAGAGTAAATCGAACGCGCTAGAAGCTACTGTACACTCGAGAGGATTTCTGCCGAGTCGAACAAAGCAACACGTAGTTTTAATGAAGTTTCTCTGAGATATTGTTTAACGGTAAATCGCTGAGCTGAATTAGTTTAGTCGCCATATTTCTACAACTAAATGAGGCAGTTAAGTGTGTTTGTTGTATACATTTCCAGCCATCTAAGCATTGTGTATTGTTAATAGTGAATGTTTATGGAAATTGCATTATGTAAAGAATATGTTTTGATTCCTACTGATGATATCCTTGTGTTTTCCCAGATAAAAGAGATGAATAACTACCTAACGGTGCCTGCTGCTCCCCCTGACTCCCCGACCATGTGCAGAGCCAGACTGGCATCAGGTAAACGCATCTGTTCTTGTGTTTATGTGTGCACCAGTATCCCGGTTTTGAGGTGTATCCCAGTTTTAATCATATTCAGGATATGGCTTTTACATGGAGCAAAGAGAAACTTTACTCACATCCCTGTTACAAATACTAGTACCCTTGTTATTGATCACTGCATGCTGTTTGTGCAGGAGCCCGTGACGTGTACAACACAAGCTGGACAACACAAGCCTCTAACTGTTAGTCTAACCTTAAATTAATTTGACTGTGGCAAATGAAAATGTGGTTTATAGCAGCCTTGATTAAATGCCAACATTGCATTATTGCCCGCAATGGGAGATGACAGTGACAGTAAATACTAGACATGTCCTCCACTACACTGGTGTTGGGCTGCTGCATAGAGCAGGTCACTGTGAGGGAGAATGAAGAGCCTTAAGACAATATTTAAATGAAATTAGTAACATGATATGAAAGAGGAATCCTTTTACTGACCAGCAAAAGCAACAGAAGGCTTCGAGGACCAGCTACTTTACCACACTGCGCCTGCACAGGTGGTCACCAGTGGTCAGACACTAGGATAACATGTGTGCATGTAACATTATCTTGGTGTATTAAGAAGTATTCTACCTACCAACCAGGATATGATAATGACATGTGCAAACACTAAAATGGGATACTTCAAAAGCCTCATCATAACTGGGATACTCAATTCCATGTAAACGCAGTCCATTTCAGCAGCAGACATGTGCACACACTCAGTAGCTGCCACCATTTTACTGTCAGGCGTAAAATAACAGGAGAACGTTGCCGTGTCACTAATGGAACGCGGACGCATCAGGATTTTGTTCAGGTTCACAAAAACCCCGTAGAAGCACTGCTATTGGTCATAGCTGCAGCGGTAGATATTTCCCCGCTGATGGAAATATGTTTGCATGTGCCAGCTGGCATGTAAACCCGTGTGTGGTTTCATTTTAGGCAGAGATACTGATTTCAAACCTGCTCAGAGGCAAAAAGGAAACAAAAACGGTTCAGGTATGTAGTGAGTGTAGAAGAGATTGGTTTGAAGCTGCGATAACCCGACAGCTGTTCTAACATGCATGCAGCCATTATCCTGCTTGTTCATTAATTATACATCACTAACGGGGGGATTCTCATGACAAGGTGACATTTAGAATCCTTATTTTAGCCAAGAAGCAACGTTGTCGACTAGAGTTCAGCATGTTACATGAAGGGAGCTTCCATCTGTGTTGTTCATCGCAAGTTCTAACCAAAAGTGGAGACATCCCAGCATGTGTTGCTCTGTACATTATTGTGACTTACTTCAGGTCTTAAAGCCTGCTGTTGTCTATGTTGCAGTGACTTTGTTGACCTTGTTGATCACATTTTCCTCCCCTCATATCTTCATGCATGCTGATGCAAAGTCAGACATCAGAATCCTCGTAAAGCCCCGTTAACGGTGATTCCCTGTGTTGTGTCCTGATCGTAGACCCCCAAGCCTACAGCGTGAAGCCGACGTCCGACCGCGTGCCGACCATCCAGGTCGACCTGGCTTCTCCTCAGTCTCCAGACTCTGTGAACCTGTTGGATGAGTTCAGACGGGCTGAGCAGCCGCGGGGAGAGGCGGGGCCGGATCAGGGCCTGATGATGAAGCCTGCTTCGGCGCAAAGTGGACCTAACAAGTCGCGTGAGGACGACGAATCCAGGGACCAGCAGCAGAAGTTAATGAGGTGCCTGAGCGACCCCGGTCCCAGCGCGGACGAGGACGAGGACGAGCCCTTCCTGCCCTAAGGCGGCAGACTGGATGTGGGGGGGTCAGGCTGCATGCCCGCCTTTTACTGGCTAAAGGGGAGAGGGCTTGTTCGCTGCTCCGCTCTAAATTATATCTTTTGGTTCCGAAACCAAACCAGCCAAAACTGCTAATGCTGTATGAACCCGAAACAAAAAGCAAAAGGAGATTGCCGGAGAAGGAAAAACAAAAAAAAACACACAGAGCCATTAGTTTGTTGTCATTGCTCTTTGTTTCTTTAGACAGGAGTGGAACAGCAACCGCTAACTGAGAGACGGTGGCGTTGGTGTTTGATAGTCACAGACATTCAGGAAAGAACTATGCATTACCAAAGGTTTGGACTGTTTTAGTATCAGACAATGTTGTTTTCACTTTAGTGTCGATCGTTCTTCCTTTATAGCACAGTTGTTGATTTTACGTCGTGTTTTTACGACTCTTTTTGTCTTCGAAGCCACATTCTCCGAGACATGCTGGCCCTATAGTCCTAAATGTAATCAACAAATCTATTTCAGTCCAGTTGTCACGTTCAGACATCGCACTTGAGTTCGTTTTGTTATTCCACCACTTGAAATTGCTGGATATCCAAACATTTAGATTGTAGCTATTTTTAAATATTTGGCCTTATTTGATGTCAAACTTGTTCACTTGGTGCATTTGTATGTATGTGTCTTTTTTTTAAAAGCAACACATTTTAATTTCACTAACATCTGTTTGTGATCTGACTTTGCTCCAGTGTTTGTGGGATGTAGGGGAAAGCTGGATGTGTTTAGTCACTGTGCAAAAGAGCCACGCTCGTTTCCAATCAGACCTGTGGCCTTGTTCTTTGGCTGTGGAGAGAGTTATGCGGACTTGAAAAATTCCTCGCTTGTTGTGGGAGGCGCAAGGATGGAAGAAAGCCGAGCGTTGGGGAAGCTGGTTAGGCTGGAAGTGATGCAGCGCAGATGTTTCTGATCAGCCGTCATAGTTGTTCCCCATCCAAGTTGAATCACATGTTGTCATGTCGCTCTTCTCTGTAGATGTTTTACCTCAGTTTAGAAAACCCTTTAAAGTCACTGTTGTTAAGGTGGAGTCGTTAAAGTAGACAAAGTGCCCATCAGCCGTCACTTTCATACCCATTTTAGACACACTTAATATAACAGATCTAAATACTGCACATTTGCATGACGTTTTTGTTTCACTGGCATTTAGAGGAAACACTCGTGGCCTACATTACTGTTATCACAGGACACGACGAGTGAAGGTTAGTTTGTACATCCACGCCTCCTAACCTTCTTTAAAATCTAAGACTGTAGGCATGTCATGGCAAAAAACGTGTAACTCTATGCAGCATAGACGTGTAAAATATGTAGATGAATTATAATATCCTATATTTATGAGCACCCTTTAAAAGTCTTTTAAAGTCAAACTCTTTTTAAGGCTAATCTCACCGCTAAAGGCGAAGCTAAAATCAAACACGGGCAGTCGTTTAAAAACACTTCACTGGAGGTTTTTAGCATATCGGAGCAGGTACAAAAATGTCTCCAGTGTTGTCTAATCACTCTCTGCTGTCCTGTATATGGTTGTATGATGGCCTGTGTAAAATGCTTTGCACATCTTTATTTTTTTGCTCATTGAATTGGAATATGACATTTATTTAAGTTCTTAACGTGCCCATTCACATTCATTTAAACATCTTAATAAAAGCACTGTGTTATTTGTTCAGCATGCGCCACAGCCAACAACAACTAGATATTAAACCTACAGGTATTCTTTCACTCGAGGCGTGCAACGCTTCAACTTCATCACAGAACACGAGCAGTTTCCCGGCCGTTCAAAGAGCTCGCCGCAAATTTCGGCGGCTTTGAAACCCAGTCTGACTGAAGTAGCTCGAGTGAGTCACTGTTCCAGTTTTCTGGCTGTTTTCTAGGTGTTAGTGACGATTGAATCCTTCCTGATCCTCTTACATCCAAAAGGCTCACGTTACAGCTGAAGGAGGGGGAAAGAGCAGAAGCACCCGACAAGCTCGTTGGTTTGCTCCACTTGCTGGGGCTACTGTAGCGAGGGTTTTACAGGATATTTTGTCTGTGCACACATGTGATCGTGTAAATCAGTGTGAACATGTGTGTTTGGTTCTTTTTTTTTTTTGCCACAACACTATTCCAGACATAGTCAAAGACAAAAGGGACGTTTGAAATCCCTGAACTGTTGAGCCAAATGACTGACGGAACACTTCCCCCCCTCCTCCATCCTCAAGTCCTGTTCTTATCGATACTAGCAGGACATTAATATTTAAACATGGCATTGATTTTCTGGGATTCTGAAGTGATGTATAAGAAGCCCTGAGAACTGTCTCTCTCTACATCTGTGCTGTTGCTTCCCAGATGCTTTACGATGTGGTAACTTGAAGGCAGTTGGTTTAACTCTTAACCCTTTAGCTGCTCTGATCAGTAGGTTGGAGAACATTTCTAAAGGTACTCCTTCTTGTGAACATGTGTGAATGCAAAGTGGGTTATCTCTGAGAATGTGCATATTTTTTTATGTCTAAATGATAACGTGGGTTAGCATCGCTTGGGGATGTGATGAAACCAAAAGCTCCACATTTAGATTTGTCCCCATATCTCTTATTACGTTATTCCAAAGACCTACATTTCTCAAAAAAGAAAAACACTATTTTCATACTTTTTTCTTTTTCATACCAAATGCATCTTTTGGGCAAACATTGTCACACTCCTTGGAGGGTAATGTTTGGTGCAAGAAACCTTAATCTGAAGCCATACAGCCTACAGAAGAACCTATTTTATCGTGTAAGATATGTTGTCTTGTACGCGTCATTGTTGCTTTACGCACAAAACAAACAAAAAATCGTTAAGTCGTCTGTCTTCGCTTGTTTTCCAAATGAATGCTTTCTGTTCTCTGTTTTAAAATCATCACACTGGATGCTTTTTTTTCTACAAAAAGTGACTTCCTTTAAATTTGTTGTTTTCATTGAATGTGTCGGACTAAATTACAAAGTTGCCTCACCAGCATTCGCTTCAAGCTTTTATGTTTTTTAAGAGACTCCATGTGCTTGTTGTTTAACTGCTTTATTGTTAACAAAAGAAAAAAAAAACAGCTGTTTTTATTCGCCTTATGTGATATCAAGTGCTGTGCTTTTATTGTCGAGCGTTGTGTTGCTCTGTGCAGACGGCCGTACTGTCAGTTTTCTTTCCATCTCGTGTTTACTCGTAACAGCACTCCAGAGGCATTCGTCACACAAACTTTAAACAGCCGAGTTCAGTCTCTGCCTCGCAAAGCAGACGCAGGATTTGCTGTTATAAACTACAAGCTCCGACTCAGTGCTGGTAAAGTTAAATCATCTGCGCTGGACGAAGTCAGGTGGACGCATCGATTCCACTCATGATATCCAGACAAACATTCGCTGTCATTCTTTACAACATCTCTGCAGATTTAGGAGGTCAACATATAATCAGAGCATCTCAAAGTAAAATTATACGCTTGATGACGGTCTTACGACACACTTCCAAGATGAACCGTAAGCACCAGTTTGGTCACCACATGATTTGTACTACGTGGGCCAAAACATGCAAAAACACGGGTTTGTTCCTTTAAGTACTGTAACGGTTGACCATCCTTTGGCGGATGAACAGAGGCTGCCAATTATATAAGACAGGTATCACCGCTGTGACGCACGCTCCTCGCATGTCATCGGCATAATGACCCTGCAGTGTCATTGTTCCACCACACAAAGACTGTTTTCCTCCCGTGTTTTTACCTCATCCGTCTCCAATTTTACCCGATCCGACTCCCGTTGTACGCCCGCCATTTCACACCACACGAGCACTTTAACGAAACAGTACCTTTATATCAAAAACATCGATGTTAAGAGACAGCAATAAATGGCTTTAATGTAGTTGTGCATGGCTATCAGGCGACACAACAGGGAAAAGGAATGTACTCAACGGTGGGCCTTATAACCAGGGACGGCTTTGGTGTTGAGATTAAAGATCTGTGTGAATGTCATGCTATTCCTTGATGACAGAGTGGATTATATTTCCCTTTTATTCATGTTTTTTGTTGATCTTCATGTGTCTGTTGAACTTATGTGTTTCAAATTTTGCAATGATTAAAGATTTTTTTATTTTATATACACGTGAATGGGAATATATCTATATATATTAAAAAAAGAAAACAATAAATGTATTAGAAATTTATTATAAGATGTACAAATCAGAATCTGAAAGATTTAAAGTGTGCACTTTCCTGTTGATTAATCTTTAGCTTTCAGCATTCCATTGTAATGACCAGTTAAACTAACAACCAGTAAAGAAACTACGTCTGAAACTATATACTAGATTAAAGTTTTACTTTATAACACAAATGTGTCCGTGTCTCGTGATTGAAAATGTGTGTTTTGTTATGAAGAATGTTGATCCTTCAACACTTTGGGCAATGAGCTGTAGTTTTGTGCTAAGCTAACAGCTAGCTGCAGGTTTGCTTAACTTGGAAACAGCTGGCCTGCGTTCGTCTACGGCTAGCGTAGTTTAAAAGTACCAGTGCCTCTTAAGTACAGTCACTGGAAAGTTATATCTGTTTAATATTGACAAAAATTGAATGTATAAATGTTAACAAAGCTTGGCGACTTGTTTCTCCTAGTTACGAGCCACCCAAGTGGCTCGTAACTAGGCCACACTTGCTCCAATCTGGAACGTGACCTTTTTTGACAAAAACAACATGCTATAGTATGATTTTTTTTTATTCCACGCCAAAACCCAAAATG